TGGGTGTGGGTGTGGGTGTGGGTGTGGGTGTGGGTGTGGGTGGGCGTGGGCGTGGGTGTGGGTTTGGTGTGGGTGTGGGGTGTAGGGTGTGGGTGTGGGTGTGGGTGTCGGTGTGGGTGTGGGTGTGGGTGTGAGTGGGTGTGGATGTGGGTGTTGGTTAATCATCTTCATTTACATCCACACCGACACCCACAGCCCGCATTATAAAAAAGATTAAAAAAACAGCTGTTGTTATATTGTCATCTAGTATTGTATCAAAACGATTTCAACATCTTAACGGATATACATTCAATAACTCGAAAAGTTTTATAGCTGATATATACTTTCTATAAAACAGAACAGATGTCATGCAAATCTGATGTCTCAATTAAGTACGATCATGGTAATTCTCGTGTAAAAACTTTTCAGTATTTTATGCAAACAAAACCTTATTTCGCAATTACAAAAATGTTAACCACATTTTATTTTTATTTGATTGGAAGAATCACTTTTAATGTACTCATCCCAAGCGGCACTGTAGAGTTTCAAAGGCAGATCGTATGCTTTATCGTTTTGATTGAGAAATGGCTTCACAACTGTAAAGTGAACAACCCTGAAGTCTTCCTGCATTCGTATCCAAAGGTCAGGGTAGGCACTATACATGGCTAAGTTTACATTGTAAATGAGTGGCAGCTGCAAGTAACGAAGTTGGAAGAAGGCATTTAAAAATGCTTGTTCAGCCATTGTCGAATCATAGTTACCTGGTAAACTCATTGTTCTTATGAGTTCGTTGAAGACAGCAATTGATGGATGTATGACAAGCACTCCCGCATTGAAATGATAGGCAAATTTACCATGCGAGTTATCAGCAACAGCGGCAAATTCAAATCTTGTGCGAGATGGTTCGGCGACAAGCTCGTGCAAATGCGCAATATCTCCAAGAACGACTGTATCTAAGTCCAAATAGACGATTGAGTCAAATTCAGTCATATTCCAGAGTGTCAGTTTCGTAAATTGATTTATGAAACGAGACCAGGTTCCTTTCAATGGAGGAGCAATGTTATGCACAGGTCTCGGTATCCAACCAACTTGAGTTAACGAACATAATGTCTTGTTACTCAATTTGCTCTCGAAATATAAAATATACATATTATACTGGGAATGATATTTTTTTATAGTGTGACCAAGAAGTAAGGCACCTCGCAGAAAGTTATTGTCTGTATACAGTGCACTGAAAAATGCCTTTCGAGATACATTGACTTTCCAAGGTTTCGTTTGGTATGCGCCGTTCTGTTGACAAGAGTAACTGTTATGACAGGCCACCTTCGAGTCGAGTAAAGTGGATGGAAAGCAAGGCAGGTAAGTCGTGACATGAGCAAGTTTATCACATACAGTTTTCTCATTGGCTTGGCACATGGGCCGAACAACGGGAGTGACATTATATATACATCTTTTCGAAAAGATTTGTAATGGCGGTGAACGAAGCAGATAAGCGCTGACGTAAATGAGTGGAATGAGATAGACAACCAGCAGAAATGCTCTGCGATGCTTTGTGATAAATTGAGTATAACACATGAACTAAAAAATAAATGTGAGCAAATGAATGCTGAGCTAGAGTATTGTCACTTTGACAATCTCGTTCGAACTCGTCCGTAACCATGTAAACTACAGTATGGTAATAGGCGAAGCAGAAAAAAGAGTCTTCCAAAGGTTCGCCGATATGAGACAATAGAGATTAACGTATTGTTCACTAAGACAGGTTTCTGATTTAGAAATCGATAGTGTGAAGCTTTCAGCATAGAAAGTACTGTTCAAGTTTTGGCCTATGGATATTGGTGGCGATTGTGAATTGTGATAAGGAGCCTGTTGATCTATCAACAAAGAGCCTGTAAGTGGACAGCAAGCCACATAGAAGTATTCTATCCGCGCAATCGTTATGAAAAAGACGCCATCTGAAAGTTATGTTCTCATTGTCAGACTGTGCAATTCGAATGCATCACAACTGTACTTCTAGTGACTCTAAACGGAAGCACACCTATATGTATGCATGACATGAACAAGAAAAAATCTAAGATGTATGAAAATTCTCAATTTTCTAATCAATGAGCACTGGCAGGCCGTTTGTATGAATTATCTCAACGAAAGTAACTCGACAGTGACGCAACCAGTGAACGGATCAATCGATAAAATTCCCACTGCCTTTCAAGAAAAGCTTTCTCTATTTTTTACGCTAGTCAAGCGAGAAAACAACCGAAATAACGATTTGATTGAAACAGATAGTTAAATTGCATTTAAAATGTTTGATATGGAAGTCGTTTTTCCAGAACATCGAACAAAGATTATCCAGGTTATTACGAACCTCTGAGCTGATATTTTTCCTATAAACCATGACCACCATATTAGAGCAATCTCCAAAGATGGGTGTGTGGGTGTGGCCATGGGTTTCGATGAAGAGAAGGCAAACACTCATATTCACACCCATACCGACACCTCACACACTGGGTAGAAAAAGGAGGTCGGGAGAAATTGCTAGATGCCAAATCGCTTTTGAGTCAAGACTATGTGCATTATGTAGGGTCTAATAAGATATGAATATCCTGAAAAGAGTTCCTGCTGCTAGCTTATTTTTGTCAGGATACTTAATTTTTATGACATTTTTCAGGTAAAAAGCCGTGGTCCCCATTAGATTCGCCTGAAAAATCAATTTTTGTATTTCGACTTGAAACTTTTGCGCAGAGAAAGGTCTTAGTGAGACTAGTTTATTCTGACAGTTTCCGATTTTCTGGTTCCTTCTATCCCAATATACGAGTCTAGAAAAGTCTTTTTCACATCACTTATAGCATCAAATGTTAAATGCTCATAGTTAAGGATACGAGTGACCAAGAAATTTGAAAATTGCCAAGTAAACTAATCTCATTTAGAGCTTTCTCTGTGCCAAATTTCAAGCTGCAATTCAAAAGTTGATTTTCCAGGCGAACCTGAGGGGAATCACATCGTTATGCTAAAACTTCACATCGACTCTTATGTATGTTTGAGACACTATATCTCAACAAGGATTTAAGCACGCATTTTTTCGCATCCACTGAAGATAGGTGATGATATGCTCTACCAAATAACATACTTAAACTCTTGCAAAATTTTTCAAACGAACTGCATTATGGACTAGTGACTATTTTCCACTATATCGATGTTAAGTTTTTGATCATATTATAGTCCAAAGAACTTCAAGAAGTCCCAAGCCAGTAATATATAGTAAATACATAACACTGTAAGGTGCAACTAATTCGAAATTTGAGTGCTCTTCATTTTTTCCTTAGACATACATTTCTAGATTCAATTTTTAATACGGATTACGAATATCTTCTTATTTTTTCGATTTGACAAAGTTTTCATAGAGAAAATCGCAAAATACTAATGGGGTGTCAAAATTAATAAAAACCGCCTATCTATGGAAAATCAGCATTTAATTCTTTACCAATTTAATTCTGGCTCCCACCAATATCATTTTCGGTTTTCTCATTGAAAATTGACTCTAACAACATTATCGACAGTCTTAGAACGTATTACGTGTCCATTCTGAAACTTCATG